CACCTCCTTTATCACGCACCACAAGCCACCCGATTTATTTTTTTCTTGATTCAATTTCCGTCGATCTTGTTTTCCGTACTGAGTACCAATGCTACCAGTGCCAATGAGGCAGCTCTCACATCTAGACCCTACCTATCGACCTATCAACTCGTAGATCGGGGACCAACGGCTTTATTTTCAGAGATTTTATGCCTCAGAAAATCCCGTCACTTTTGGAGTTGGCCATGCGTCTCTGATCCGTCAAACATACGCATGCGTCTGGACTTAGGTGCAGGAAAAGCTGGTGACCGAGCGGACAAAATATTTTAATAATAATTATTATACCTTTTGCTGAACAGCTCGGTCACAAGTTTTCACTCTGCCAGGGGCCTTAGTATGTTGGAAGAACGCATCGAGAGGATCTTCACCTGGGACACTAAGTATAAGAATTAATTCCAACGGAAATGACATCGAAGTATGAATGATTATGAAGTGAGTATAAACCAGAGATCTGAACTAGTGATAGACAGTGAGTTCGACTAAAATATTGGATGCAAGGATCTAATCATATTTAATACCTGAAGGTAATGGACATGTGAACATGATGGAGATATTGGTATGTTGCAAAAATGGTGATGAAAAACTATCGCCTACCGGTGGCAATCGAACCCACACTTCTCAGTACGCTAGTCGGGCGCTCTACCACTATGCTATGTTAAACTTGATACTACCGTCATCAGTCTTCCGAAGCGGTAATGCAATAGGAAGGTCCGTTAACTCTAGTTCGCGTAATTGATTAACCACTGTCCACACCGAACATGAACAACCTTGCGTGTAAATATTTTGACCACCGAGGTCAACCCCCAGTGCAAATGCAGATTAGCATTTTTAGCGATAATCAGTTATACATTGGAACCGATTGTTAAGTACCATTACTTTACAATGTACACGAAAAATTTCCTGCTTTGTTCAGAAAATGTCGCGAAAAATACCAAAACAATGTTGTCCCATCCATAAGAGCAACCATACCAATGAGTAAATAAGGCACATTTACCAACTGCTGGGGAAAAAGCAATCCGCTCCTTGGGAAGTAGTGAGTTCATAAATTTAGCAACCCGGTAGCAACGCATCAGACGGTTGCTATTTTGAATGAACGTCAAAAGTTTGTTTTGCCGGTGTGGAAAACGGTAACTTAAATTATGACTCTGATAGCAACGACCGGTGTGGAGAGGAGTGATTAAGCCAAAATGGAAATGCTGTGCATAAGTAAAATAGTGCCGCAAATGGCAACGACTGGTACGGTTGCTCTAAGAGCCCATGGATAAAAGAATCTTCATCAGCGTTATTCTCTTGCTGTTTTAACGAAAGGGACAATTGATCAGTTCACGAAGATTTGCTGCACTCTTCTCTCACCCGTAAGTTTTGACAGTTTTGGGTGGTTTGTTTTGGCTCCCATTCGTTGCTATCTCTTTTACTCAGAAGCAAAATGATAGGGAGCAAAAAGTGAGGTTAGGGACCGTGCACTGATCTATATACAAGTAGACTATTGGTTTCTGCACACGGCTGATCGACGTCCAGACGATGCGAAACAATAGTTTCGCCGTTCTTGGACGTTTCCACAGTTCGCAAAGCAGGGTACAGCTAGCCGATCGAGACACTGTACCCCTCACATGCCTAACCCCGCTTCCACCGTATCAGCAGCAGCAATAAAATCAACAGTTCGATAGTTGACCGACGAACCAAACGGTCTCTATGCAGATCGTGCGCGCGTGCACGTACCGGCGCCGGTTGTGTAGTGGTAAGCGTGACTGCTTTCTCACCCCAATGGGTCTGGGTTCAATCCCAGCCGAGGTTGGTGGAATTTTCCTGAGGCATAAAAATCTCTGGTCACGTCTTCCTTTGAAAGGGAAGTATAGCCGTTGGTCCCGACCCATGTGTGTTTAATGAATGGGTGTGATATCCTACGCAGGTGTAGAAGCTAAGCTGCGCCTTCCTGCACTGAAAATAAAATTTAAAATCAGCGGGTTGTGGAGACCGAAAAATGTGGTGTGTGTCACTCACGATGGGTATCATAGGAAGGAATAAACATGACAAAAAATTAAAGAAGGCTTCAGACCAGACTCGAAACATGAACCTTGGGAGAGTCAGAATTGTGCTTTATTCATCGTTCGTTCTATATGTGGTACGAGAAATGGTAAGGCTAAAGGCAAATAAGAAGCACTCATAGAACGGTAATTCGATTTCGTTTGCTTTTTCTGCTGTTTGTATGTATTTTTTTTCTCTGGCATAAAACCACCGTGACCAGTAATTTGATGTATTGCAGCCAAGCTTGCATGTATTGGTCAGACCGAAAATATTTCAAGAAAAAAAAGTAGCCCATCTCCAACACACAATCCGCACTTTAGGAGACAAAAGCGCAGTTTTTGGTTTGATTGAACGAAGTTGAATTTGTATATTATATGAATAAGGCGTAATATTAGCATTGCGCCAGATGACAGGAAAAACGAATGTTTCGTACCATTTATGAAATATGTGTTTTATGTGCGATATTCATTTTTACGAAACGGTTTTCAGAGAAATAACGAAAATACATTTTCAGTGTATAACAATTGAAATCTTAAAACTAAAAACTAAAACTAAATCTCATCGAAGTATAAAGGGAATTAATCGTTGCAATTGAGGATTGCAACGATTTTTGTCTGAAATATTAATTATTTTGTTGGACATTTGTTCTAAAGTCTCCACATTCGAAATTCTATGTACTTTGGTAGTAATGTGCAAAGGAGGCAACGTCAAAATCACCTTTCGGACTGTTCTGAATCCTTTGAAGTGCTTTTTTTCCTGGTAATGCAACAACTAGACCATATTGGCACAGCGTAAAGCATTGCCGGTCTAAAAACTTGTTTAAATATTAGAAGTTTATTCATCAGGCAAAGTTGGGATTTCCTGTTTATAAGAGGATATAAACATTTTATATATTTGTTACTTTAGAGATGAACTAGCCTTTGGCTAAAAATCTCTTAAATAAAGAATTAAAAAAAATAAATTTGTTACATTTGGCTTGAATGCCCTCAATGTGATCTTCAAAAGTTAATTTGTGATCAAGTACTAATCCAAGATATTTCACTTGGTTTGACCAGGAAATTGGAACTCCGTTCATAGTGACTATGTGACTACAACTAAGTTTCAAAAAGGAAGCTCTAGGCTTATGTGGAAATATTATAAGTTGAGTTTTGGAAGCGTTGAGAGAAATCTTCCATTTTTGTAAATTAAAAGAGAAAATATCTAAGCTTTTCTGCAGTCTGCTGCAACTAACACGAAGACTTCTTCCTTTAGCGGAAATGCCTGTGTCATCAGCGAACAAAGATTTGTGGCAACCCTGAGGCAAATTAGGGAGGTCCGAAGTGAAAATGTTATACAATATAGGCCCAAGAATGCTACCCTGAGGAACTCCTGCTCTAACAGGTAGTCGATTAGATTTGGAATTCTGATAATTACCTGCAGAGTTCTGTCAGTAAAATAATTTTGAACTAATTTCATAATATAAAGTGGAAAATTAAACTTTTTTCAATTTAGCAATCAAACCTTCATGCCAAACACTGTCAAATGCTTTTTATATGTCTAGAAGAGCAACTCCAGTTGAGTGGCCTTCAGATTTGTTTGAACGAATTAAATTGGTAACTCTTAAGAGTTGATGAGTAGTTGAATGCCCTTGGCGAAATCCAAACTGCTCATCTGCAAAAATTGAGTTCGTATTGATGTGAAGCATCATTCTATTTAAAATTATCTTTTCAAAAAGTTTACTTATTGAAGAAAGCAAACTTATTGGACGGTAGCAAAAAGCTTCAGCTGGATTTTTATCCGGCTTCAAAATTGGAATTTTTTTTTTGCATTTTTATATTTATCAGGAAAGTATGCCAAATGGAATCATCTGTTAAATAATTTTACCAAGAAAGACAAGGTACTCTCTGGGAGTTTTTTGGTGAGGATATGGAAAATTCCATCATCACCTGGAGCTTTCATATTATGAAACTTTTTAGCTATTGATCTTACTTCGTCGAAATCAGTCCTCCAGGAATCATCAAAAATATTTTCCCGAGAGAAAATATTCAGATAATCCCGAGCAACCTGATTCTCAATAGGACTAGTAAGACCCAAACTGAAATTATGAGAACTCTCGAATTGCTTAGCTGGTTTCTGAGCTTTTTCCAAATTTGTGATCAAAATTTGACAACCTTCCTTAAGCGCTGGAATAGACGTATGTAAGATATGCACAAATTTTAGTGGAACAGATATTTATTAAAATGATCTTTGCTGTAATTTTACTCAACATCAGAATCAATCAAAATTCCAATGGATGCTCAGATAGCCTAGTAAGTAAAGGCACAGTATTACAAAGCTGAAGACGACGAGTTCGATTCCCGGTCCAATCCCTAGCATCCATATTTTTGTTTTCGTTCGAACCGTTCTGACCATGCAAGAAGAATGGTTCGAACGAAAAAAAAAACCGTATGAAAAAATCATGTGTACATTCCTGCGATATAGTACACACGATTTTGCGTAAATTTTATTCATGTAAATTTAAGTGAAATATTGCATAAATCCTCAATATTGTATGCAAACTTGTCAGCAATTTCTATGTTTATGGTATTACGGGATGGTTAAAATTCAGATTTTTTTCTGTATGATTGTAGAAAATATTTTGGGTTGGAAATGTTCTTGACCTCACTGGGCTTGCTACCGAAAATACAAATGCATACATTGATTGACATAGAAAGCTCTCAATTAATAACAGCGGACCTGTATCTAGAACACTAAGTTGAGAACCGGCAAACGCTGGTTAAAAAAGCGTGAATAGCCTACAATAAGAAGAAGCAGGGCACGGAATTGAGATCGAAAAATAATTTTAATCATTGTCACTAACACAAATCTCTTATATAAATAAAACAGAACAAAAAATTCCATTCGCTGATAACATCATGAAAACCAATGTAAAAACGGAAATCAAAAAGCTTAATTACCCAGCAAAGTGTATCCAAACAACAGCGTACAAATGCCTAGATTTGTCAACAAAGCCGCCCAAAAAGTCGACGACTTTTTCCCCCGACATGAACAGCATCCAGATTTGGACGGTTTTTTACTGCTAATCGCAATTGTTGTTGACGTTTGTGTTCCATTTTTAAGAGCGGTACTCATCTCACTCCGCTGTAGAGTACTCATTCCATTATTTGATTGTTTCATGAGAGGAGTGTACGAGTCATACTGATAGCGGATCGCTTCCTTCTCGGCCATAATTTTCAATATTACGTGACTGTGGTCGCCATCGTCTTTACAACACGCGCGGTCGCTCTACCGATGGAATACAAATTCCATTGGCTCATGCTCCTGTTCTGTTCGTTCCATTCTGGTTTGGTTTTGTTTCTGCAAACAAGAAAGAAAGGGAATATGAATTATCTTAATTGCCATTCTACGGTGGTTTTCAAGGAATCGGATGGAAACTTATTAAATTATTTTCAATTATTGATAAAGATAAAGGTTGAGATGTGAGGAAATAGAATAGTCTTCAGCGTACCTAGTCCTGATTAAGTAGTGCTCAACGGAAGTGAATAATAGTTTTTTTTTTGTTATTTCAAACAACCTTTGAAGGAAAATAATGTATACGACTTGGGAAAAAAGCATGCTCTAAAATTATTGCTTCATTGGTAGAAAAAGAAATTGGCAAAAATAGAGATTACTCATCTGTTTTTCCTACATTCACTCACATAATCCTAAACAAGATCACATGAATGTAAATCTGCCATGTCAAAGATAAGTTAGAATTCCGTACAATCCTATGCATGTTTTGTTTCCCTAAAGGGCCACCCACATTAGATCCGTTTGCGTTGCGTTGACGTAAATTTGACAGTTAGACAATAGATTTAGCTGTCACTTTGCCGCAACGCGTCCGATCCGGATCTAATGTGCGTGGGCCTTAAGCGTTGCGTTGCATTGCGTTTGTAACGGAGTAATTCGTAGATTGCATACTGGCAACTGTCATGTATCTACTTTAACGTTCTTATTCTGATTGCTTAAGGAAAACTATTTGCGAGTGAATAGTTCTCCAATCAAACTTCAGAACATGAAAAGCATGACAATAACCATTGCTGTTGATGTAACACCTACTTAAAGGGAGGCCAGTGACTCACCGATGCCCCCATAAATGCTACGGAGTTGGATAAGAGGTGCGTCAGGATTCGCTTGAGCAGGCAATGCGACAATAGTATTATTTTTGTGGAGCTTGGGGTAAACCTACGATATTTTACTGCGTAAGCAAAGCCAAGCTCCTTAATTTAAATTTTAGTACCTTATTTGGTATAGTTTTTATAAATGTTGATTGAAATATAATGTAAAAAAAATAAAAGGGAAGGGTCTCACGCGAATGATCTGTAATTACCCAGCCTTCTCATGTTTCCTAAGCTGGACCAAAATGCATCTCCCAAATGCAGCACAATTTCTTTGATCCAAATAGTAATTATGACGTGTGGTAAGTGATCCCAAATGTTAGGCGGGGATGAGGATGAAATGATCCGGCCTATGGTAGAGCCTGTTTGAATGGCTTCCTCACTGCTCTTGGAATTAACAACTTTCGGATAAAGTTGAATTTTCAGGTGCAAGATCCACCGGAATCCACATTCAATCTCCTAACATTTACAACGTGTCCCATCCATTGTACTCTTCCAACTTGAGCAATTTTCTGGATACTGGGTTCACCATAGAATTGCGCTATATCGTGGTTCATTCTTCTCCTCCATACACCGTTTTCATATCCCCCGTTAAAGATAATCCTAAGCACGCGTCGTTGATAAACTCCAAGTGCTTGAAGATCCTCCTCGATCCTGTACATAATATGCATGACTATAGCGGGAGGAGTGTAAGGAGGTTTTAGAGATTAAGAGATCCACACTGTGCCAGCAGGAGAGACGAAGCACAGTACAGGCCAGGCTCAATTTCAATTTCGTTTATCAATTTGCAACCAATCAGTATTCGGATAAACGGCATTCAGCCAAATGACGCGGACCTAATTTTTCATAGCTCTTCACGGTCAATAGTATCATAAATGGACGTGAAATGGATGGTGGTGCGTAGGGACTTGATATTCTCAATACTTTTGGAGGAACGCCTGTTGTCGATAGCCCATCCACAAAACCAGCTTGATAACTCCCCACAAATCTGCTTGCTGGTGGCGATAGACGGTGAAAGAAGATCTGGGAAAGTACTTTGTATGCATTTGATGAAAATAGTGATTGCTCCGATATCATCCTCCCATGCCATGTTTTTCTTAAGCTGTTTGATAGCATCCTTAACTTCACTTATTGTGAGAGTTAGCATCCCAAGTAACATTACAAGTTTTATCAAGGTTTTAAAGCAGTGGTCTATAAAATCCTCATAAAACCAAAAATATTACTTGGGATGTCTCCGTTCCGATGAAGAAAGAATGGCTTCTGCTTGGTACTCCGCCTCCACGCCATTCAAGTGTTCATCGTAGTGCTCCTTCAGTTTTTCCATCTCCTCACGTCCAACCATCAATACATCTGTATGCTTATCCCGACACCTTTCAGCTCGCGGCACAAAGCCTTTGCGGGATGCGTTTTCATTCTCGTAGAACTTACGCGTATCTTGAGAACGATACAGCTGCTCCATTTCTTCGCACTCTAACTCTTCAAGGCAGCGCTTCTAATACCGGCAAAGATGAGTTTACTGTCTTTGCTCCACATTTTGACGGCTCCATTGCTGCAGCATCATCGTCCAGGGTGCATTCTTCTCGTCTAAATCCGTCTGACACTCCTCGTCGAACCAATAGTTTCGTCGATTTCTCTCCACGAACCCAATGGCCCCTTCTGCTAAGTTGTTGATGGTTGCTTTGGCACTACTCCAGCAGTTATCATGAGGCACTCCGATCAGCTCTCCCTCATCCGGCAACACTGCTTCGAGGCTTTGCACGTAATTACGACTTCGGGTAGCTATAGTCATTCCAGATGCTTGCGTGGTGGGCGTTGATACCGAATATTGTTTACAATGGCAAGAATAAGGTATAGTGAAAAATTGCAAGGAAGGGGACGGGCCTGGGACTGAACTCCTGGCCTTTTACTTAGTAAGCAGAAACGCCAAACACTGAGCTACCGGGCCTCGTCAAAGTACAAGGAATTTGTAAATATTCAACATAAAAAACACTAATCTTTCAACTTTATCTTCAAACTACCGGTGCAATTTTCAAGCGATAGTACTGTAACTTTGAGAAACGATTCTATAGGGAATTTACATTCCTATTAATAGAGCAAAACAAGAAGAAGACAAAACGACTTGTACCCCATTGTGCACTTTATGGTCAACTGGTCTACAGTATGCGTCATAAAAAATGCTAAATGTTCATAAAAATCGTAAGAAGGATTTCACATTTCCACTGTTTTTTTTTAATCACAATTGCATACTTGCAGTTGTTGAAATATGCTAATTTGCGTGGGTTTATTGCGCATTTTGCATCAAAGTAGACTCTTTTGCTGAAAATAATCCCTCATAGTTTTTTTTTTTACTCAAGCCAGTAAATATCAAAATTGACTATGCTCAAAGTAATAAAGCGTTATATTCTACAAAAGCGTATAATATCGACAACCCAGCGGTAAAAGAACTAGGAAAATCAAGAAAAAAAAAGTACCCTAGCGGAAAACAAATGAGGGATTATCTTTCTCTTTTTTGGAAAATCCGTAATAAAAAATATCTTTGTTTTAGTACAAACATAAAAAGGTGGGGGTTTGAAAAACTGTTTTCCTTTAGAAGTGCCCATCTTGTATGGACGACTTATGGATAATTAAGGTGCCTTTCTAGAAACAAATCAAAAATTTCAAAATTTTCTCATAAAATTTTTTGAGATAAATTGACTCTAAATTTATTTTTCAGTGTAGGAATTGGAAGAAAAATGTATTTTAATTTCAGACAATGTTCTACAATTCACTATTTGACCGTATGATTTTAAACGCAAAACAAATGGCATGAATATCAAATGCATGTGTGTATTTCTTACATCTTTTGAATATGTTTCTTACAACAAATATAATTGCAGCACTTATGTACAACCCAGACAACCAGAAGTCGTATAACAATGTACAGAAAGTATCGTAAATAACTGCAGTTTAAGTCAACATTGCATATAAGTATGACATACATCGCATTATGTTTAAATTAAATCATATAGAATGCAAATTTCCGACTTATATACAACGAATCTTTTTTTCATCGTACTGTATCACAAATTAAATCGGATTACATCGTAAGGTTTTTCAAATTGAATTTGTTATTACAGATTGAATCGTATATAATGTCAAATCAACTCGTTTAAAACGAAATTAAAATTTGCACGTATATGGTCTCCACTTTTGTAGGTATAGGCCCTTTTTTTGCATTCTATACGATTTGTTTGTTTGTATATATGTTTGTATATCACAAAAACAACTTTGAATATACGTACATTCTGATTGTCTGGGAATAGACTGAAACGTAGAAATAATTGTTTCCATTCAGTGTGGATTTTAGTATGAAACCTTCACGAGATGGTTTAATAGCCGCATTAAGGTTAATTTGTGTTTTGGCTATGCAGTCTGACAGGTACAAACAGTAGTTTATTAACTGTCCAACTGCGGCTGTTTTTGGGCAGTTAAAAAACTACTGCATAGCAAAAACTCAAATTAATCAATTAACAACAGTCGAAAAATTTACACATAAGTGCATTTACGGAAACAAACTTTAAATAACCTTCAGACTCCCACATTACAGAATGGGTGACACATTAAAAATTTCGTTTATTTTCAATGCAATTCTGTAAAAGAATCTTACATTTCCCGGTTAGGTGTAGGCCTTATCATTCTTAAGGTATAATTTTTTGAAAAATGTTTAACCCTTTTCGGCTTATAAGTAAAACAAGTATCCACTATAGACGCCAACATTTATCAGGATTCAAGTATGCATAGTTGCATAGTTGCATAAGCAGACGTAGTCTGTACACCCCATAAAGTTTCATTGGAATCTGAGAGGGTGCTGCCAACAACAAACTGGTCGAGTTGACGTGAAATTCGATGTTTGTCATTTCCATCGCCAATTTCTTGAAAAACAAAGTAGTACATACCACCATCTGAGGGAGTAGGCAATCTGCCATATGGGTCATTCCGCGCCCCACTTCCATGAAAATGAACCCACTTATTAAGAGGAAATGGAAAAAAATACCCTCATAATTTATGACTTAAGCTCATTCAAAATGCAATATCTCAGGAACTATGCAAATTACTGTTTGTCTTTTAGTGTTTCTTATGTAAAAAGGATGGAAACACGATGGTGTCCTTAAATTGAAAATTAAACGACATGTATTATGAGAAAAAAAGCATTTAAAGTTT